TTATGTCCACCGATTATCTGATTTAGGATGACATTATTTAAGCTCTGTTCACAACAAGAATTATTTGAACAATGTCTAATACTTCTGTCGTTTATCTTAAATATACCAAATATGCACAAAAAATAAAGGTTAGACCCAAGCCTCTTCAACATACCTCAAAGAAACCTCCTGATCTACAGGGAGTAAAAGTACTAGCAATTGATTGGCAAATAAACAATGCCCATTTTTTATAACTAACAATTCTTAAAAATGGGTGAGAATTTATGTTCACATTTCAAATGTGGTGTCAAGCTACCCTTGTCAGGAAGATAGATCTTTTACATCCGATAATGCATTTATTTCATGTGACAACAGTCATACCTATGCACTAACGGTGATGCGGGATGCTTGTATACATCAAAGCTAAATGTTACTTTATATAAATAAAGTAGTATAAAGATAATGGGGGTGAGGATCCTATTTGATGCGAGGGGGAGCCTAGTGTGAAATATCAAAGTAAGGATGAGACGTGGGGGTCTGGAGAGAGAATGTCCATGGGAGATGTCCTGATACCTTACAAATCATCTGTTTCATATAAAACTTACATAAACTCAATAATTGATTACAAATTGAAAATATTCCTTCACATGGCAGTGTTGCAGTGTTAAACTGGGCATGCAATACGCAATAATGAATGAATAAAGAACGAAAGAAGCTATGTGAACTAAGTACAAAACAGTTACATTAAAACAATTTTTAGATTTCAAGATTATATTATAGCCAATTCAGAAGATACCATACCTAAAACACACACAGATGATGTCATCCCAAGTAGTGCATAATATCTTACGACACGGGCAAAAAAAAGAAGAGATAACTATCATGGGTACGGCAATCAAGATGCCCTCAGAGAAATGGTCATGGAATTTAAGCCTGACTGAGTACAGTTTAATAGCGAAGAGTGTTTTACACTGGGTGGGACATCATGTTACAGTGCTAGACAAAACGAGAAACTGCCACACTGCAGACATGGCAGCTATATGACTGAAAAGTTATTAAAGCTACGTTAAAAAAAAAAACACGCACACGCACACACACACACACACATCATTTGTATTGATACATTATATCAATTACATTCATTTGTAGTGAATACAATATAAATTTAAGTAAAACGGGTTCTTTGAAGAATAAAGAGCAAAATTGGTTCCTTGAATAATAAATAACAAGAATATTATCATTTGTAGATTTAAACTTGTCCAAATGACGGAATAAGGTGTCTATTGGGTTTACTATTTACAGTTAATTCAGCAAGGTTCGACGGTTAAAGGGAAGAAACTGGAATATTAGTGTAATTATATAAAGCCTTTGCTTTACCTCCCTTACGTCCGTAGTACTACATTGATAGTACCGGTAAGCATCAGTGGTAAATTATAATCTGGAACTGGGAAAACTAAATTTGAATGGTGTTCGACGACAGAGAGGCAAAACAATTGCCACATTCTATGGACACCACTGACGGCACTCCGTAAAGTATTTTTTTATATTTTTGGAAAAGAAGCGATAAAGATTGTGGGTACGACAATCAAAATGCTCTCTGAGAAATGGTCAAGAAATTAAAGCCTGAAAGATTACAGCTTAATGACGAAAACTATTTTACAATAACAATTAATGATTTTTTGAAAAAAGAAAATATCCTACACTTTTCTGCTAACTCAGACAGATAGATTTAACTTAACATTTTTAAAAAATGATAAACATGTTGTTAAAGACAACAAACAGCATACGAGACGTTGTGTAGCACATAGGGTAATGATTATCAAATAGATTTTCAGCTAGATATGACGATATATAAACGTATTAAAAATTTTAATAAACGACGATATAAAAGTAATTCAAACAAATACCAAATAACTTCATGTTTTCCTAGATATAATATTCACCACGTACAACTTCAACGCTTCCATAAAACCTTCAATTACCGAAAACTTGACCAAAACCAGATAAGAAAAGAATGTGTTCCATCCGTCTAAAATAAAATCCAGTACGAATAATATAGTATGATGATACAGACTTTGAATATTTGGTTTTCTTATAACCTACATTTAACGTCTAGTAGATTTTGACTTTAAACTGCTAAAATGAATGTTTCACTCAGGATTGGGAGTTATTGACGAAGTGTGAGTACGTACATTTCATCTAACCAAAGCATTATCAGTGGTTGCAATATTTGACATTCGGCGAATGTGGATATGTGAGAAAGCTTGCCAGTAGCTTCTCGTGGGTCGATGGTTCTTTCCAGTGATTTCCCGGTTTCTTCCTCCACCATTAATACTGGCCGCCATGAAAAATGGCGTTAAACCCAACAACAACAACAATATGTGACAAATACAGAACAAAACTGAAAATGGAAATGTATATAACAATTTAATAAAAACAAATACAAAATGTCTAGGATGCAAAATCTGCATTAAAAATGAAAGAAAGTAAACTCGTATTACAATGGAGAAAATGTACAGTTTAAAGAGGCAAGCAACAGATAATGTTAATGAGGAAAACAGTGCCTAGGGCAATCATGTGAAATTTCCTCCGAGGCGCAGGCCGGATCAGCTACTTTTTAAGCCACACCTTATGATGTGGCGGTTAGAACCAAGCCGCGGCCAGATGTTGCACATGCTTGGCACAGAAGATAAATCTATTTGCATATGAAAGATCTATTTCGAACTTATATTGTAGTTAGTAAAAGCTAGCAATTTATTGCACACATATGGACTTAACTAAGTTTACTCATTATACTTGTTTTGTAGATTTTGAAACCTTGCATTGGGTTACTTATATTCAGTACAAAATTATAAAGTTCTGCTTCGAATTTGTTTCATTTTGTGATTCTACATCTCCTGCAAAATGATACCAAGGGTTCAACACTTCCGGAAAGTACATAGAAAGAAACAAACAATCATATTACCTTTATCCTGCAACTCAGTTTAATGCTGTGAACTTGACAACTCAATGCAACCATGTTAATATTTGAACTCAATTTAATGATGTGAACTTGACAACTCACCGCAACCATGTTAATATTGGAACTCAGTTTAATGATGTGAACTTGACAACTCACAGAATCCATGTTAATATTGGAACTCAATTTAATGCTGTGAACTTGACAACTCAATGCAACCATGTTAATATTGGAACTCAGTTTAATGATGTGAACTTGACAACTCACTGCAACCATGTTAATATTGGAACTCAGTTTAATGATGTGAACTTGACAACTCACTGCAACCATGTTAATATTGCAACTCAATTTAATGATGTGAACTTGACAACTCACTGCAACCATGTTAATATTGGAACTCAGTTTAATGCTGTGAACTTGACAACTCAACGCAACCATGTTAATATTGGAACTCAGTTTAATGCTGTGAACTTGACAACTCACCGCAACCATGTTAATATTGGAACTCAGTTTAATGCTGTGAACTTGACAACTCACTGCAACCATGTTAATATTGCAACTCAATTTAATGATGTGAACTTGACAACTCACTGCAACCATGTTAATATTGGAACTTAGTTTAATGATGTGAACTTGACAACTCACAGCAACCATGTTAATATTGGAACTCAGTTTAATGATGTGAACTTGACAACTCACAGCAACCATGTTAATATTGGAACTCAGTTTAATGATGTGAACTTGACAACTCAATGCAACCATGTTAATATTGGAACTCAGTTTAATGATGTGAACTTGACAACTCACCGCAACCATGTTAATATTGGAACTCAGTTTAATGCTGTGAACTTGACAACTCACTGCAACCATGTTAATATTGGAACTCAATTTAATGATGTGAACTTGACAACTCACCGCAACCATGTTAATATTGGAACTCAATTTAATGATGTGAACTTGACAACTCAAAGTAACCATGTTAATATTGGAATTCAGTTTGATGCTTTGAACTTCCCAACTCACCTCAAACATATTAATACAGGAACTCATTTTAATGCAGTGAACTGGCCAACTCACCTCAAACATGTTAATACTTGAACTCAGTTTGATGATGTGATCTGGCCAACTCACCTCAACCATGTTAATATTAGAACTCAGTCTGATACCGTGAACTTGCCAACCCACCTCAACCATGTTAATATTGGAACTCAGTTTGATGCAGTCAACTCAGTTTGATGCATTTGGCCAACTCCCCTCGACCGAGTTAATATTGAAAATGCTTTTAAGGAAATACTAGTTTACTACGCTCAGACTCAGTGTTTTGCATTTAAAACTTAATCGTTTATTTTTAATACTTATTCAGCCATAACACAGTGAAAAGATATTGATCATAACTTGACATACTATTCTTGTGGAAAAAGCTATACTGGTATGTGCGGATTGCAACACATGCGTAACGGGATTTCGTTAAAGCATTTAATAGAATACAATATTGCAGAATTAATAGTTCAGATAGCTTTTGTAAAGTCATATGTTGTCAAACCTCTTAAAAATCCATCTGAACTATTAATTTTAGCTAAGCAAGGTTAAGTCACGGATGAAAACATTTTGGTCTACTAGAACAGGGCTCGACAGATCCAAAAATGAAACTAAATTGTAATGTTGCTCGTTACAGAGCGAGTGGAAGAAAAAATATAGCATGATCTGATAAAACAACAAATGTAAAGAAATTAAGTGATTCATTCAAACTTTTCTTGAATTAGCAATGCAATAATAAAGTGGTTTATTCCAAAGACCGATAAACGATATGTGATAGGACGACAAAGAAGAAAATGCAGTGCATACAAATTATGTAAAGAATCAGGGTTATGATAGAATTATTTCGATTGTCAGGTTTGTCAGCGATATTTAATTCTCCAGCCATTAAAGATACAATAAAATATATACCCGTATCCCCCATCTTAAAAAGTAAAACAAAACGACAAAAGAAGACAATACAGTTCACCAAATAAATAAACAAGCATTTGTATTGATACATTATATTGATGCCATCAGCTGTAACCGCTCTGGTGGCCTAGTGGTTAGAACGTCTGCCTTGGATGCGGAAGGTCGGGGATTCGAACCCCTGCCGAGTCATAACAATTACTTATAAAAATGGTTCTTGCAACGGTCTCGCTTCGTGCTCAACATTAAGATGTTAGTGTTAGGACTTGTCTGCCTGGTGTCAGGATAATGTGACTAGGTGGGACATGATACTATATGTCCGCATCATGATGCTTCATTGCAAGACATCACTATAAATAACAACTGCAAATATCGTAGCGATTTAACTGAAAAGTTGCTTAATTTATTTTAATATTCCAAAGTATGCAAAACCTGTCAACATATGATAGAGAACAAGACATTCACTAACACAGTGACTAAAGAAAAACTCAACATACATGGTCCAAACAAAACGTGCAAAACAGAGAATGTGATTTATCTCATCACATGTAAGATCTGTGGCCTTCAGTACGTCGGAGAAACTGAAAAACTACACAAAAGGATAAACCTTCATAGATCTGATTGGATGACATAAAAAAAAAAACTGTACAGAAGCCCGGTCGCAGAACACTTTTCCTCCCCTGGCCACACTTTCAGTGATATAATACTTATGGAGGCAGGGTACAGTTTCGTATTTTGGCCCCTGGCAAATTTCTTAACTTAAGGCTATGGTGTGACTTTTTCAGCAATTATTGTCTACTAATTAAATATATGGATATATTTGTGAGCTAGGTGTTTCGGGCTTGTGTTGTTCTTGAAATTGATGTCAGGCATGTACACCTTCCATAGTTACTCTGCAATATGTTGATAGTGAAATACCAATAGTTGTCTACGAAGAAGAGCTAGCCTCTCGTAACAGTAAACATGTGGGTTTGGGACAAGGAGCATATCTCAAAAACGGCTTGGATGACAACTATTTTCAACTGCATCAGCCTGTTTAGTACACACTGTTTGGCAGAATTGTAATCTAGGAAAAGGGCTAGTGTTTGCACCGTGAGTACCACATGGTGTCAAAAATGACCTTCGGACATGAAAATTGCAGGTATAAATTTGGGGTTGGGGTGCATAAACTTCTTCTGCTATGAACTGCCGCTGACTTCTCTGGTCAAGTGGATAATATTTTTATGCTTTGTTTTAATATAGGTATCTCAAAATATGGGCATTCTTGACCTCACTTGTGTATTTGATTTTTTATGATTTTTTGTACTAGGTCACTGATTGCGGCATTAAATTTGTACATAAATACTGGCCCCTGCCCCCTATCGCTATTGCTAACAACCACAGCTGGAGTTCCGAAACCAGGAAGGGAAAGGAATCACTGGATACGCCGCCTTAGAACATTGAAACCAAGCGGTCTAAACCAAGAAGACTAGAAAATAAAAACTATGCACTAGTAGAATTTAAGATTTTCTAAATCTTCTTATTATCCTTCAATTTTTACTATAAGAATAACCGGTATAGAATTAAAAATCCGGGATATAATCTGCGTCACATAAATGTACAAAAGTAAAAATAGATGTCGCTTTGGCTTGTAGACTTTTAGGGAATTATTTGTATTTATAGTTTTAACACGTGTGGAGACAGCCATGTAGAGGTTTACAAACACAACGTTTTTGTGTTTATTTGTTTGTCGTATAAATGTTTTGTATTTGCCTTTGAAAAAGACTCATTAAGAGTCGAAAGCGCTTAGGCTAGTTAGTTACTAGTTTCGTACTGTTCGTCGTAAGTTTATTGCATATATATATATATATATATATATATATATATATATATATATATATATATATATATATATATATATATATATATATATATATATATATATACACACACAATGTGTCAATGATATACCACAATATGTATAAAGTTTTCATCAAAAGGAAACGAGGCTTGCCAAATTTCCTTTTAATGAAAAATTTATATAACGAGTGGATAGTGGGTATTCTCTCTCTCTCTCTCTCTATTTCTCTCTCTCTCTCTCTCTCTCTCTCTCTCTCTCTCTCTCTCTCTCTCTCTCTCTCTCTCTCTCTCTCTCTCTCTCTCTCTCTCTCTCTCTCTCTCTCTCTCTCTCTCTCTCTCATCCTTTGGTCTGTTTTCTTAAGTTTCACCATCATTCATAAGTCCAGATATATCATGGGATGACACAAACAAAAATCCTCTATGTTCGTCACTTCATAGATTTTAGCCAGTATCTTGCTACGATGTGTGTGTGTGTGTGTGTGTGTGAGAGAGAGAGAGAGAGAGAGAGAGAGAGAGAGAGAGAGAGAGAGAGAGAGAGAGAGAGAGAGAGAGAGAGAGAGAGAGAGGGGGGGGCAGGCCTCTGGACATTTTCATATTTAATTAGATCGTTACAGTATGCTTAAGAAACAACAACAAAAACAAACATTAAATAAATCAAAGTATGTGTACCACATAACCGATGAATTTATTGTATAATGCAACTTTGTGTCATTGATAAACAATGTAGATAAATCCCAAGAAAAGTGAACACGTATCGTTACGAAGAACCATATTCTTGTTGGTTACTTGGTATACTTTCTAGTTCAAGGTCTTAATCCAGCCCAATTTTCTTTTCTCCCCTTCCACATTTCTGCATAGTTTGTTCGTTATGCAATGAGAGATGAGGGGAAACATAAATCAGAAAGAATTGTAATGGCAATGTGCACCATATTAAACTCATTTAGAAAACGAGGATTTTTAATACTTTTTATCGTTATTTTCATACGTCTCTAATGATTAATTTGTGGAAATTCGTCGTTGATCAAGAATCAACTGCAGACGGTTGTTAGAATGTTTGTTTATATATGCGTATTATTGCGCCATGGATTGATCACAATTTTATACACTAATAGTATTAGTATATCAAATTGCTTTATACCAACACTTTAAATTCTTTATATATATATATATATATATATATATATATATATATATATATATATATATATATATATATATATATATATATATATATATATATATATATATAGAGAGAGAGAGAGAGAGAGAGAGAGAGAGAGAGAGAGAGAGAGAGAGAGAGAGAGAGAGAGAGAGAGAGAATACAAATCATATGGAGAATAACAGTCCTTTCACGTGCACTGTATCAAGCAAGGGATTACATGGATTGATTAAGACAAGTATTAGTGTTTGCAAAACTTTACATGGCTGCTTCTGCAAGAATTAAACCTTTAAATGTTTTATGTTTCAACTAGTTTACATCAACTGTCTGCGGATACTGGAAAATACTTGTATTAACCTAGAAATCGATGAGCCATAACGGCATTTGTTATTTTTTGTGCAATTTATGTAAGCGCAAAATATATCCCGGATATTTCATTGTTATTGTATTAATTGTAGGCTCTTAAGGAAACTTAGAGAATATTTAAAAGAAAATTTGTCGGCTGCAGACGATAATTTTCTTTGCGAATGGCACTCTTTTTCTAGTTTTCTTGGTTTAAACCGTATGCTTTCAATGTTCTAAGGCTGCGTATCCAGTAAGATTCCTTTTTTATTCCTGGTTTCGGAACTCAAGTTGGGCTTGTTAGCAATTGCAATAAGTGATATATACGACTGAAAGAGTGGCAGGGGAGGAGAAGTGTTTTGCGACCGAGCTTCTGTACAGCTTCCTTGTTATCCATTTAGATCCATGAAGGTTGATTCTTTTTGTGTAGCTTTTCAGTTTCTCCGACATACTGAAGGCTACAGATTTTGTATGTGATGCGAAAAATTATATTCTCTCTTTTGCGCGTTTTGTTTGGAACATATATGTTTAGTTGTTCTCTAGTCACTGTGCTAGAAAATGTCCTGGTCTCAATCATAAGTTGACAGCTTTTGCATCTTTTTTTGCCACAGGAGACACATTGGCTAGGGTAGCTTTTGACTAGTGATTGGCGTTAGCTTCGGCTTGACTAGGATGTCCTTGATGTTTTTTGGTCTCCTGTAGGCTACTACAGGTTTTTTCGGAAAGATTAACCTTTTTACGTCCGACGATTCCAAAGTGAGCCAATGTTTTGCAATGATTTTACCAACTTTGGGGTTGTCTTGGATGGTAGACCAGGATATATGTTATCATATCTGCCTTTTCCTTCTTTCCATAAATGTACACAAAATAACATTGATTTATAGGTTAATAAAAACATTTTCCAATATCCGCAACAAGTTGATATAAACTTGTTGAAACATAATACATTTAAAGGTTCAATTCATGTAGAAACAGCTATGTAAAATTTTGTAAACACTACGGTTTTGTCTTTTTATGTTTTTGTCTTGTCTATGTTTTGTATATGCCTTTGAAAAAGACCCATTATGAATCGAAAGCGCTCAGGCTGGTCAGATACTAGTTTTGCACTGTTCTTTCTCATATATATATATATATATATATATATATATATATATATATATATATATATATATATATATATATATATATATATATATATATATATATATATATATATATATATATATATATATATATATATATATATATATATATATATATATATATATATATATATATATATATATATATATATATATATATATATAGAGAGAGAGAGAGAGAGAGAGAGAGAGAGAGAGAGAGAGAGAGAGAGAGAGAGATCAAGTCAGCACGTGAGTGCTGTTTCAAAGTAACAATGTTGAGAATACACAACCTTTCTGGTAGGATAAAAAAGATTGACATCTTAAAAAGATTTTACAAAACTCTTCAAAAATTAAAATTCAATAGTTCCATTCGAAATCTGACAGATTATAAAATGAATAGAAATAGGTTAAAATGTGATTTGCATGAAAATAATGAATTAGAAGAATAAAAAGAAACAGGAATCAATAAAATCAAGGTCAGATGTGTCAATATTGAGGAAGCCAATCAAACAAACACGTGCGCTGAAATCATGCAGTAACGGCACGATCTCGATTTATCAATAGGATTAATACTTCAGAGCATTACTGCATCGTAATGTTCCTCAGAAATTAATCAGTTTTAATTTTATGACTGAAACTTCAGAGTATATTTTTGAAACTCCTATCTATGAAGCTGAAGGTCTCAAAAGCGTCCGAATCAGGAAATTCTGGCGAACCGGATAGAAATG